TTTTTCTATTAACTTTATGTTATTAATTTCTTATCATACTTTTTAATATTTAATATAGTAATTTTTCAACACGCTCTTTAAGTAACCTGGAGTTGGGACATCCCTGTGCCGTCAGAACAAGAAAAGTAACCTGGTCAATCCTAGATCAGATTCTTGGAAACTTCTGAAAACCACACACTTTATTATATATATCCAACTCTTCCTCCAATTTCATTTGCACCCATATTAACAAGATTTACTTTCTCTCTTCAAATTGCAAGCTTTTCTTTGAACATCAATGGCGACTGTGGAGTTGTCTCCGGTGAGAAATGTAAGGAGGCAGGGAACTAAGGGAAGAACAAAAAGGCTATGGAGGATGAAGAGTAACATGACTTGGAAAGCAATTAAGGAAGCAATGGTGAAGAAACAGCTTCTTCTTCAACTAACCTGTGCAGCTTCTTCGACAACCATGCAGCTCTCTCCGTCTCCATTGAGAGTTCGTCAAGAGGTAGCAATGGAGAAGAAACCCTGTCGACCCACGAAATCTTTGGGGTACCTTCTTCAATTACCACGCAGGGCCTCTGATTTTATCGACAATAACGGTGATCTCATGACTCCGACCATTTCTCCGAAGGACAAAATTTCCACCCAGTGGCGAGAGATTCATGGATTTCGTAATTGGGAGGGTCTCCTTGATCCTCTGCATCCCTGGCTCCGGCGAGAAATCGTTAAGTATGGGGAATTCGTTGAAGCGACATATGATGCCTTCGATTTCGACCCTTTATCGGAGTACTGCGGAAGTTGCAGGTACAATCGGCACAAGCTGTTCCAGGAACTCAGCCTCGCCTGCCATGGCTACAAGGCGACCGCGTATTTCTACGCCATGTCCCACGTCGATGTACCGCATTGGTTCGAGAGATCACACAGTATCTGGAGCAAAGATTCGAATTGGATGGGATTCGTTGCGGTCAGCGGAGACAGAGAAACAGAGAGAATTGGGAGGAGAGACATTGTCGTGGCGTGGCGGGGCACAGTGGCGCCGACTGAGTGGTTGAGCGACCTCAAAACAAAACTAGAACACATTGGCGACGACAAGAATGTCAAAGTCGAATGTGGATTCCTCACAATTTACAAATCCAAAGGTGAACAGACTCGGTATAACAAGCTGAGTGCATCAGAACAGGTGATGCAGGAATTGGAAAGGCTTGTGAAATTCTTCCGGGGAAGAGGAGAGGAGGTCAGCTTGACAATCTCCGGCCACAGCCTCGGCGGTGCCCTGGCTCTTCTCAATGCCTATGAAGCTGCAACTTCCTTCCCAGATGTTTCCGTCAGTGTCATTTCCTTTGGAGCACCGAGAGTTGGAAACATGGCCTTCAGGGAGAAGCTCGATGAGCTCGGAGTCAAGACATTGCGCCTAGTTGTCAAGCAGGACATTGTACCTAAACTGCCTGGAATTTTGTTAAACAGAATCCTCAGGAAGCTCAATCCCATTACTGCAAAACTGAACTGGGTTTACAGGCATGTCGGAACAGAGTTGAAGCTTGATACTTTAGTGTCACCTTACCTGAAACGCGATTCAGATCTTTCAGGGTCTCATAATTTGGAGACTTACCTTCATTTGATAGATGGATTCTTCTGCAAGAAAACCAAGTTCCGGTGGAATGCAAGGAGGGATATTGCATTGGTGAATAAGTCTAGTGATATGCTGATAGATGAGCTGAGGATCCCTGAGTTTTGGTACCAATTACCACATAAAGGTCTTATCTTGAACGGGTATGGTAGATGGGTTAAACCATCCAGGGAACCCGAAGACATTCCTTCCCCACTTGGCATTAAAACATCTGATCATGATCATTGTTTTTAGATTCATCTGTATGGCAAAAATTCATCTTTATACATAAAAGTAGAGTGCTGCAGATTGACATGAACCTGAATATATGTTGACATGTTCATACAAACGACCTTAAATACATGTTATAGATAAAACTAAGTAGTAATATGCAGGGTTCCCACAACATACTATCAACAGAGAACCTAAGATTCAAATGTCTGTTTCATGCCTCCAACCAAACAAAAACAATGCACAAACGTCAAACAACTGATACTGATCTGGAAGCTCGAGAGAGAGCATCTTCATGCTGATTATCTTCAAGCTTCTCAGAGCACAAACTTGGTGGGATATAGGATCTGAATATCTGCTCCATGTTTGGAATTTCCTTCAATTCATGGCAAGCAACTTCAAGAGGGGGGTGACAAAAGGCTGGATAGAATTTCTTTCTACAGACGAATGCAAAGATCAAGGACAGTATCACAAGTGGAACTATGATTGGAGCATAGACGAACTTCTTAGCACCAATGTAACCAAACATGGTAACTTGGTATAGTAGCAGAGCAGCAAGTAAACGTGTGTGTATGTGTGGCCACATCCTTCCATAGCTCTCATATGATGGAACATAAACTTTTAGTGCCTGTTAAACAACATAGCAAGAAATTACTGGTAAATAAGAAATCACCCTTCTTGCATGTTTTATTTTTATTTTTATTTTTAAGTTTTCCCTTTATGGACGGAATGTTTTGCTTGAATGAGTGAAGTAGATCTTATGATTGATTTGCTTAACATGAAATTAAATTTGACTAAAAATTAGCAATTTTCAAAAAAAAAAAAAAAATAGTAGAAAGACAAGAAGAATAGTGAAGAATAACCTGATTCCGCAGAATAAGCCATCCTAAACCAAAGTAAAGTACTCCAAATGGGATGATAATGGGAGCTATGACCGAGTAGCAGAGGACAATTGTGACCACAAGCATGTCACCAGGAACTCTAGTCCCATAACCGATATCTCCAGGTAACCATGCTTCTTTTATGTCAGCTTCTGTTTTGCAAAGATACTTCTTCTTCAGGTGAAATATGATAAGAGGAACAATTCGAGAAAGTTCAAGCCCATAGCCCACAAAGAACCTGGGACAAAATTTAGAGTAAGTGGAGAATCATTCAAGGGAAGTTTAACTTTAACCTAAGATATTAAGCTTATACTTACTGCAGAGCCACATAGGTGATGAAGAAAGTGGCGTTGTTTGGGAGGCTTTGAGCCAGTAAAGTAACAACGGAATTCGGATCCTTCTCAATGGTCTTGATTGTATCGAATACAGTTGCTCCAATAGTAACTCCAATGAAGACATTCACCACAACGAAATAAAAATATTTACCAGATGCAGCCCTTATTGCATGGCTCCCAGAAGGAATTCCTTCAGTCTTGGAGAGAAACAAGAGAAATTTGGGTAACAAAGCCATGAATATAATCAGAGCAAGCTGGGGAAGATACGCCTCTAATACTGTCCTAAGGACATCAATTTTGACAATTGGCTTTAAAAATGGGAGAAGTTTCTCCAGGTTAGCAAGCGTTGTGATTCCAGAGATAAAAGTGATCGGAATAATGTAAAACACTATGACCAGAAACACAATGGCATACACAACACACTGCCGTATTTGCCTCTGGAAGAAATTGATTGTGAGATTGGTCCATATAAGTTGACGAGGCTCAGGAGCATCTATAACTGTCCAATGGTCAACCATTTGGGCATATAAACTTTGACCAGCACAAGCTGCAGTCACCCGACTGGTGAAGAAAACTATTGCAGCACATTGCTGCTTCTCGCGGACAGTAACCTTTTGTTCAGATTCCAATTTGGGGATAATTTCATTGATCTTTTCCTTGTAGTATTCTATGCTATCAACCTTTTTACCAAAGAGACCAAGCAAGCCAGTTCTGTTCGTTGGTCTTATTCCTTCTGCATTGCCTTTCTTCTTTGACTCTGCATATATCACTTCTGCACGTTCAAGCTTCTTTTTGTAACCTTCCAATTCTTGCCAGATTTTATTCACCTAGATGGAATGCAAACAAAAACTTAAAATCTGTATTACCAACCCAAAGAAACATATATACAGTACAGAACACAAAAATGCAACATCACTATCATGATACAGGAGTATATAATCTGGTTGCCAAATTCCTTTTGAATGAATCTAGAATGTCATTGAAGATTCTAATACAAGAATAAACAGTGGCGATCCATGAATAGGTCAAAAAACCTGGTAACCAAATGTAGGAATATATGAAACGGAGGAACGACATACCTTTTTGTTGTCTGTGACTATCAGAGATCTGTAGAATGTCTCGGGATAGATAGCATTAAAATATGAATCCACCTGCTCTTTTCTGCTTTGACCTTCAGTGGCTTTTGGCACGTCTCTAACAAGAACAGCAAATTGCTCTGGTCTCACTTCAGGAGACATTAAGGCATCGGCTCTCAGTGCAGCAACATGTTTATAAGCTTTCCATAGCAGGTAATATGTGATGAAAGAAACCCAGTAGGTTGCTACCAGAAATGCCCACAACCTTGGACTCTTCTCCTGCACATAAGAATGTAAATGTAAACGATAAGGCTTTACAGTAAAATGATTCCAAAAAATTAAGCAAGCAACTTTGGCCATTTAATTCTAGGATTAATTAAACATCCACTAAGAAGAACTCTAAATTATATTGGAAAGTCAATCACAGGCTAAAAGAATACACAGTATGGTCCAATTAATAAAAAAGTTATTTTGCTTACTGCAATATTCCCCATTGATAACTTGTCCAAGTCACCAAAAGTCCCATTGCTTGTAGTCTGTGAGTTTGAGTTCGAGTTCGCACCATGGTCAGTTACAGCCACCGGTAGAAGAACTGGCAGCAGAACTAAGCCAGAGAAAGCCAATATTCCCAGCACTGTCAAATTAATTAGGAAATAAGAACCTCAGAAATTGTCCTTTAGTCCTCAAATGACCACATCTTTAGGTCAAGAATTGCTGCATCAATACAAACAAGCAACCTCTTTTTTTTTTTTTGTAGGATAATCAATTATGGAAAATTTTTGTCGCGAAGCATAATCAAGCAAAAGCTCTTTATAACATCATAAGAAAAAAATAAAATAATTTATGCATCTAATCAGAAGAATCTTGGGCTATGTTTGGTTTGAGATAAATTGAGGGGATGAGAGGGAGGGGAAATTTTTCAATCAATCAAATTAGGATTTTAGCCCAACATCTGAATTTGATTGGATAAAAAATTTTCTGCCCCTTCATTTCCCTCTAACCAAACATACCCTTGATGTTCTCTCCACAGTTCAAACAAATAAAACTCTGGAGTATAGAGTATTTGAGTAAAAACAACTGAATTTGTAAAGAATAGAAAAGTTTGAATAAGAAAACAGAGGACTAGGAAAGAAGTCAACCAAAATTCCCAGTTTGTTAAAATAGAATCAAAGTAAAACCCCAAATACAAACCAACAAAAATATGGAACCTTTACAACATAAAATCTTAAACTAGTACTAAAACAAGATGCAGATCTAAAACCCTAAACCTCTGAGGTCCTAAAAGGGAGGAGAAAAATAGTTAATTAACTGAAAAGAACAACATAGTTCAGAGATTAGGCAACTAGAAACAGAGGAGACAGTAGCAGAGAGAAGTAACCTGTGCTCAAGAAGACAAAGTACACGGCCGTATCAACTCCTGACATGTTAATCACATCCTGCTCACTAGAAGACAATGCTTCACGGATCCAAGTAAACGGGTTTCGAGGGGCGGAGCCACCGTCAACTGGATCCAGACCCTTCAGAATCCGATTTGGGTAGTACACAACGGCGTTTCCTGGCCTCCTCGAAAGCCAAGCGAAAAGAAACATCAAAACGACGAAAATAGCGAAGGAGGTCCCTAGGGACGTCAAGAAGGAACTGAAATCCATCAGGGTGTCTGCTCAAAATCCTTCCTTTCCCTTCTTTACTTCTCAACCTGAAAAGAAATGGCCTGTATGTTTTTTATTATAACTCTGTAGTAACGTGAAGGGGCATGAAAAGTAGCTGTTGATGAGGAAAATCAACCGTTATTACTAGAAACAACAAGAGGAAATGTGGGCAGTGTGCAGCGGATATGGTTTTGCTTTATATTAACATTTGGGATCAGCTTCAGTTTGTGTTAGGTGGGGCTAAGAAATGAATTCTTGTATTTTCTTGAGAAAGATTTCAACCATGATATTTGATCATTGTTTAGAAGCAGTTTGTTTTCATTTCATTTTCATGGCTTTAATTCTGGGAGAGAGGATGGGTGGGGTCAAAGCGAGTTTGATGCAGAGTGGGACAGGAAATTGTTCAGGAAAACGTGAGTCACTGAAAGAAAGGATGAGGAGTATGAGTGGAGGAAATGAAAGGGCCAAAATTATTATTATTTTTTTCCTTTCTTTCTTTCTCTTTTGGTTAAGAAAGAATGGTTATAGCCTTGTATATTAATAATAAAAGAGGTCGCTAGAGACAATCTAATAATTTATAATTTTTATATGTTAATAAATTTTTAAAGTATAAAATATTCTCCAACTAATAAAGTATAAATTTTTATATTAAATTTTTAATATTTGAAACTTACTTTAAATATGTTTAATCCAAAATCAAACTATGTTGAATTTTATAAAAAAAACAAAAAAACAAAAACTCCCCTAACATTTATTTTAAGTTTTTTTATTACAAAATTTAAATTTAAACCTTATTTAAAAGAAATAAAATTCTTTTGATTTGAGTTGGTTTAATAAAGTATAATTAATAAAAAAATTATAAATATTAGCTATCCTTCTTTTCTCTTCGGGGGTAGTAAAGGACCAAAATTACCCTTTTGGCTTAGATTTTGTGTTTTTAGTATGGAGAAGAAAATGCTATTTTATAGTATAAATTGTTTTAAATTATAAAATAAAGATTTTTTAATGAGAAGAGTTTTAATATTAAAGAATTTTTTTATCAAAAAATTATTATTTTATAATTGAAAATAATTCAGATTATAATATTTTTTTATAAAAATTTATCTTTTTAATTTAAATTATAAAATAAAAAATTATTTATGAAATTAAAAGTACTCTCTTAATTTAAAAAATATAATTTAAATTATAAAATATAAAACCCTTTTGACATACTCTTTTTATTGTGTAATTTTTGTTCAAAATAATTCAAAAGTATTGTGGAGCATAACACATTAATGCATTACTGGAGAATGGAATTTATCCCCCACCCACCAAGGAGAAAACTGGTGAGACAAATTCCTCAAAAAAAAAAAAAAAAATACTGGTGAGACAAAGAATCAAGAGAAGAAGTACAGATTCGAAAGCTGAACATGAAAAGCGAGTCCTGTTTCTGTCATTTCCTACCCACCTGAAAAAATAAAGATTAAATCTTTAATTTGATCCCTAAACTATTGTATAAACTTTTAATTTGGTTTTTAAACTAAAAAAATCCTTAATTTGATTTTTAAACTATTATATGGATCTCTTATTTGGTCTTTCTGTTTATCAATTTACCTCAAATTGATCTTTTCATACAAAAAACAATTGACGTGTCTTGTTATTAACATGGCATGTAATCGTTAAGTTACTATTTTTCATAGTTAAGTTACATATATGTCAACTTTTTTTTTACAAAAGGACTAACTTGAGGTAAATTAGTAAACAGTAAAGATCAAATTAGGGATTCATACAATAGTTTAGAGACCAAATTAAAATTTTTTTAAGTTTAAGAACCAAATCAAAGATCTATATAATAATATAGATACCAAATTAAAGTTTTAACCAAAAATAAAAGGACC